TAAGAGAAAGAAAATTAACCAGACCATAGGTATTATATAAAGTATACATTATGAGGTTTAGGTAGTTGCTTAAGGGGAACAGGTTGGAAATAAGAAATTTAGTAGTAGATTCAAAAAAAGGCTGATTTTTAAAAACAATCTCTATGTACAACTTGGGATATATCCAGATCATTATGATAAAGTGAGTATCACAATAAAGTAATTCATTTGAATTTTTTTAGCTTCCTGGTACATACAAAAGTTATGTTTATATTGTTCTATAGTATATTAAGTGCATGATAGTCCTTTATATTTAAAAATATGTATATACCATAGTTAAAAATACATTTTTGCTAAAAACAATGCTAACCATCATCTGAACCTTCAGGTGTAAATCTTTTTTTGCTGGTGAAGGGTCTTTTAAAATGTAATATCTGTGAGGTGTAATAAAAGGATGTATGTGTATATACATTAATTATCTCATAGTTTTAATGAATCAGGAGTCTGGTACACTTTAGTGGGGTCTTCTGCTCAGAGTATCACAGGGCTGCAGTGAGTCAACGTGACTCCCTTTTCGGAACTCAGGCTTTTCTTCCAAGCCCATGTGTGTATTTTCTGGAAAAAAAAATCACTTCTTATGGCTGTAGGCCTGTGGTTCCTGTTTTCTTGCCTACTGTCTGTCAAGGATGAGTCTCAATTCCTGAGCCCCTTATGCTTTTGAATTATGGCACTCTCCAGGATCCTCTCTTGATATGATTTGATGACTTATTTCTTCAAGCCAGCAGGGGGATCTCTCTGACTTCATGGAGGCACCCTTGCCTTCTTTGGAAGGATTCAAATAATTGGATCAGGACCAGCCAGGGAAATCTTGCTCTTTGAGCAACTCAGAAGCCACATGATTAGGGACAATAATTTACCACTACAGATTTCCCTTCACACCTAGTATAATGCAAATGACATAATTGTGAGCTGACAGTGTCCCACTTACATACAACATCTGAGTATTATATAGGGCATGAGGTCATCAGGGTAATTTCAGAATTCTATTATAGTGTTCACTATTGAAGAATGAATTCTCCAATATATTGTTTCCCCTTACAGTGGCTTAGAGGGTTGTTTACTTTATGAGACTTATGCTTCTTCAATGTTATATTTAAATAAATGTTATATTTAAACATAATTAGTAACTCCTGCCTAGTTTTAAACTTTTATAGTGTTCTTTTATATAACCTTTGATTAGAATAATTACACACAAATCAATACAAATCTCACTACTTTTTTTTTTTTTTCCTCATTGAAGTCAACTTTCAAATTGACATTTTAAAGATTGTAGAGGGAACATACTGCTAGGGATATAAAGACCAGAGTAACACATCTGCCTTCAATAAACTGAGGCTTAGTAGACACCCTCAATTAAGATCAAACAAATAATTAAGAAGACAAAGTGAGATTTACATCATGAGAGAAATTATAGGAATATATGTATATGCATATGCATGTGTAAATATTTAATGACATAAATTACAAAATTTTTATTAATCAAGATCCACAGTCTTTTATTTTTTTTCTCTTTATTTATTTATGCATATAGAACTGGGGTACAGGCCAGAGGTGCAGGGGCAGTGAGAGGATTAACCAGAGATAAAGTGGGGAGCAGAATAGACAGATCAATGAAGTACACTGCTGAGGGGAGCAGCAAGTGAGACAGGAGAGGACTGCTATGCTATGTCAATCACCTCCAGGGCAGGAATCGAACTCACACTGAAGCAACCATGGCTTGGCTTTGCAGTGTAGCATGCCAACCCCCTGTACCAGCTGGAGCTCCCCAGACCCACAGTCTTTTAGATATTTTAAGAAACTTTGAGACTTTGTGTGGTAGCATTTACCATGAGATAATAATTACCTTTGCTAGATAAACAAGTGTCATCTCTGTTTTAAATAAGGAAACAGAGCCAAGTACTTACTCTCTGTTACTCACTTAGTAAGCAGACATCTAAGGCAAGAATCCTAAAATTATGACTTACGTGTTTTATGATTAACTGTGGCTTTAATATGACCTAAATCATATAAAATCTTTGAGTGGATATAGAAAGGTCATAACATAGAATTAAGTAATGTGTTTTAATAAAGAAAACCAATTTGTTGAGGAATGTTATTTATTGTTAGATCCCATAGCATATCTTTTTAGCAATGTGACTACAGTTGTATTTTTATATACCAAGTCAAGGGTAAAAAAAGAAAGTTATTTATTCTTGTTTCATCTATAGAACTACTCAAATAGGAAAGAGTACATAAACTCAGAGAAGTTAATAATAAAGCCAAATTACTTGTTCAAAATTCTAAAGGATAAAGTGTTCTAAACTGATGAAATGCATGGCTTACATGTTAACTTTATTTTAACATGTGCTCTGTAGCATTTCCAGACATATACAATACATATTAAAAATACATTTTAGGGCCCTCCATGGTGGCCCAATGGATTATAGCACATCACTAGGAGGCTGGTGGTAGCTGCTTCAGCTTGAAGTCAATCCTGCCCAGGGGGGTGACCTACATGGCGTGGCAGACCTCTCCCATCTGGTCCACTGCTCAACAGTGTGTTTATCAGCCTGTTCAGCTCCCCACTCTGTCTCTGGTGAATCCTCTCACCACCCCTAGCACATCCTCTGGCCTGTACCCCAGTTCTGTATGCAAAAATAAATAAAATCTTTAAAAAAAATAAAAGAAATTCATTTTAAAGTGTGCAGATTTCAAATATTCTTATCAAATGATAACCAAATCAAAACATTTAGTTTGTTTCCATCATTTCAGTATTTCTTCACATACTGAGTTTTTTTTGTTGTTGTTAAACTGAAGTTAAAATTTGCATATATATATCTTTGGAGAGAAATATATTTCTTCACTTAGTCTTTTCTTAGTAAAGTGTGTATTTATAGTGACAGCATCTGCCTATGTGGAATGAATAGACAGAAATCTAGTAGTATTCGTTTTTAACAAGTGATAGGCATTACCAAGGTTGTTCATAGGAAGAGAAGCCCATCATCAAAATTTAGTCTTCTATGTTGTGTGATATTGCTCCTAGAATTGTAACATTGAATTAAGTCTTACCAAATGGAGGTATCAAGCAGTTTAATATAGATAGAGGAGTAACTTCAGGATTGATAAATACTCCCATGCATACTAGCTAAGTAAAGCTAATGATTACTATTACATTACTAATCAGTATCTTAATTTATTGATAGGTATAGTAGTAAACAGTGTCAAGATTATAAATACAAACTGAAATCAATTTGTGTGATTATAGCACCATAAGTTTTACAAGTTGACTTTGAATTTCTGAGACTTTTTTTTTTTTTATTCTTACTATTTGGAAGATAGGGTTTTATATGCAATGGGGAGTACAAAGGTGAGCAAACAAAGGCACAGTCACCCACAGATTTACTTGACATCATTATTTGAAGAACAGACACACTATTATGAGAGCTGAGAGAATAAAAAGGCTACTTTATTGATAAAAAGAGGACAGGATAGAGACAGCTTCATAAAGACAGAAATGCTAAATGGCTCCTTAATTATAAAAGAGTTCCAGAAGAAAACACCATTATGGAACCATCCATGTAGAAATGGCAGACAGGTTTGGAGAATGGTAGGCAATTTTGACTTTAGATGATGTCTAACACAAACTAAAGATAAGTCGTAGCAGCCTACTTAAGCCACAGACATCTGAGCTTTATTCTATTGGGCAGAAGAACTCCTGGAAGGTTTTGGATAGTAATAACAGGTCAGTATAATTGAAGTATTTCCAGAAAATTTATAAAAACAAGCTTTTAATCATAAGTTAAAATATAGCCAAAGAAAGGTTTTTTTAACCAAAAAAAACCCTCCTTATTTCACCAAAACAGTTTAGTCTTAAATATATCAAACTCTACTTTTTAATAGATTTGAAATATTCATGTTTAACAGCATACACTGAATGCACAAATACATAAATAATTGTCAACCTACTAGTCTAGTTTCTAGAAGTGTTTAAATTTAGTGTTAGTACTTAAGTAACTTGTTATGTCCCATATTTATATTACTGTACATATTAACTATATCTTTTGCTGTTTCTCATTAGGATTCTTAACAAAGAGTTTTTTCTCCTTTGAGAGATTTCAGTACCATTTTGTCTAATTGTTCCTTATGTTACACTACCATATTATAAGCTTCTTTGGAATAATAAAATAGTAGTGCAGTTATCCTCTTAAGGAGCTCGGTTGTTATGCCATTACAGCTTGGTGGCATTCTGCTGACTACAGATTGTTGAATGAGAAAGGCTAACATTAAGACAGCTTCTTTTATGCTGTTTCATTAAAAACATTACCAGTATGTCATTTAATAAAATGTTTGTTATTAAAAATTCACATGCAAGGAGTTTAGTGCAATCTACCTCAACATTACAAAAAGGAATTGTCAACTATCAATCATACTAGATGGAGCAAATTTGTTTGTGTGCTATTTATTTGAACTAAATCTCTAATAAGCCTCTTCTGCTAATTGGACTTAACATTTATGTTGCTAAATGAGAAGCATTTTGGCTGCTATATAGGGTGGTAAGACCTACCCAATGGAATAAACAACTAACATCTGTTATCCCGTCCTGCTCCAGCTTGGCTTTTACCACTTAAGTACATCAGCCCTGAAGTCAAGGTTATCAAATATGTGAATCTCTGGCTCACCCACTTATATGCAAAGGCAAAGAAATAGTACATCATGACTAAAATCAGCCAACCAAATATATTGAGTACAGCTGGTCCACTTTATTTTAACCTTTACAAGCCCTACAACCTTAAAAACCTTAAGCAAAAGCTCTAGTTGTAGTAATTTTGTAAAGTTTTTATATTATCTATTTTATTGTTAATTTCACTTTTTTTTTTTTTTGCTTTTTCCTACTTGTAAAATTTTATACTGGTAGCTGTTAGACGGAATGTAATTAGTTTTATAACAGATTTATATTTAACTTCTTAAAAAAAAAAAAACAGAAACTACATTTGGATTTGGCTGGGCTCCGGAAAGAGAAAGAAGCCTTACTGAAGAAACTGGAATCATCATCTGAAATCACAAGCTTGACAGATGAAATTTCCCGGGTAACAGCTCCACAGATACAACGTACATCACTTGGTCCTTCAAGGAGCATGGATTTGGAAATGAAGCAATTGCAGTGTAAACTAAAGGTGATTATAACTTTTAATAAAAAAGTGAAAATGTACATTAACTTATAGAAACCTTACATGCACGTTTATATAATTCTTATTTAATTCTACTAATAAAGGTGACTCACATTATAAATAATCCAAAAATTGTAGTAATACATTTCACCTCAGTTTTCTGTTTTAGCCTGATAAATTCTTACATGGTAACTCATGGTAATGTTCTCTGAAAAACTGATAAGAAACCATGATATTGCCTAACTTAAGAAATAGCCATTATCCTTCTGTTCCACTAGACAACTCTTCAGTTCTCCCATTTCGTCTTGTATTAAACACAATTCTATTCAAACATATAATGTATCAACATAAAATTGCTTTTTTTTGTACATATTTGCCAGTATTTTAATGTGGTTGTAAGTTGAACATGAGATAGGAAGAAGAAAATGCAGGGAGAGAGAAAAAGAACAAGGAAAAGGTAGGTAGCTTGAATCGATTTCATCATGTTAAACCTGAGGGAGAATAAAAGCAATGTTCCTTTTACTTAGAAAGAATTGTGCTTAAGTCCAGATGAAGCAGTTCACAACTTTAAAGTAAGGCTGACTTAGTTTAAGTAGAATTATATGGTGTGAAATGGAATTTGTGAGTTTTAATTGGAAAGTTCATTTTCATGCTACTTAAAACAAACTCATTTATTCCTCACATATTTAATTTTTCCTTCATTGGAGTTTGACAGCTGGAAGTTAAAAGGACAGTGTATATGTTACCATATATATAGTGATTATCACTTGAAGGAAAATTCTGGTTGAAAGTATAGATTTAGGAATTAGGAATAGAATAACCATGACTGTTAAAAGTATGTTAGAATATTGAATTCTCAGATACACTTAGTTGTTTATAATGAAATATACGACATGTTCACACTCCAATAATATTTTTAAATCAAGGATTACTAAATAGTATAAAATGGGATAGAATTTAAAGTAAATGAGTAAAATTGTGTTAAAATAGTTTATTAATAAGTATACATACTAGCATTTAAATAAATTCTTTTCTCTTTCTTTTTTAAATTTTATATATATTTTACATAATTCTTCATTTTTGTTCAATGCATGCTTTCTCCTCTCAGGTAAAATTCTACCTGTAAAATCCCCACCTGCGCAACATCACGATAACCCCTTGTGGTCTTCCCCTACAGTGTGTCTGATTTATAGTTGCTTTTTTCTGTTTTTTAATTTATTATATTTTTTTCCTGATTCCTTATTTAGTTCCCCTACATTCCTCCTTTAAGTGAAACTATCAATACTTTTCTTTTTCTTTCGGCTTATTTCACTGAGCATAATCCCTTCCAGCTCTATCCCATGTTGATGTGAATGTCATGAGTTTATCTTAGCTGATTTGCGTTAAAATAATTGCTTCTTGATTAACAACTTTTGACATTTTTATGTGCCAAACTAGCCACAACCACAACACTTAAGTTTAAATAATAATAAAAATGTAAGAAGAAATAGCGGTGCAAGTTGTGCCTTATAGTGTATTTCTTAAATACTATCTTAAAGTGTATTTCTGTCTGTACAGTCATGGAATAAGATATATAAAGTGAACATTCAGAGTATAGGTTTCTATATAGAAGATAAAAATCATTGGATATCTTTTGATTCTTTGGTTTTATTTACCGCAAACTGTAATTCATACTTTTATGATTCTTTTTATATTCAAGTCTAATAGAATGTAATTACAGTTATATCCAGTCTAATTTATATATATATATATTTAATTGCTAGCAATTAAATATGTTACTAATTTGATTTTAGTTACTACTTTTAATCTAATGTGATTTTTACCAGTAGGCCCCAATTAATATCTATATGTTATTTTCATTACTGTGTCCCTCATGGTGTAAGTTTTAACCCATATGAAAGTCTCTTTTTACTTTGGATGAATCTATGAGTCACAAGGGTGAAACTAGTAAGAATGCCTAAAGCCATTTAGACCATAGTTATAGTAGTTTAAAATGACATCATCCTATAGTCCTGGAACACTGACCAGGCTGCATAGTGACAGAAGAGAGAAATCTTTCATTTTGTTTTGTTTCATGTTTTAATGGAAGTGCCTTAGAAGATCAGTTACCTTTTATTACAAAATACTCTGCTACTACAAATTTCTGTTTTGATAGAATATAACGTTGGTAGGAATGCTGTAACAAAATACCACAGAATGGATGGCTTTAATAAGTTAAATTTCTTTCAGAAATTTCTCATAGTTCTGAAGGCTTGAAGTCCAATATCAAGGTATCAATAGGTTTGGTTTCTCCTGAGGCCTTTCTCCTTTGGTCACATTCTCACCATGTCTTCTCTTGGTTGCCTTAATCTGTGTAGTCTACCCTAATCTTTGCTTACGAGAATATCAGTCATACTGGATTAAAGCCCACACATGTAGCCTCATTGTACCTTAATTCCCTCTTTAAAGACCCTACCCAAATGCAGTAGCATTTTGAGATACCTAGAGTTAGGATTTCAACATACAAATTCTGAGAGGCCACTGTGGTTTAGCCCATAAGAGTATCAAACTGCTTGAAAATGTTTTTCCACGAAATAGCTTATTTCCAGTTGATGTTTTTATGCTTAACTAAGAACATAGAATGAGTGTTCATTAAAGATCTATATACATCTTTTTGTTTCATCCAATTAATATTAGAATTTCCAATGTAAACTCTACAATCAGTGTTCTTCACAGGTATATATGTGTTTATTCAGTGCGATTAGAATGCACATGTGTATTTCTGTGTCTTCATTTTTAACCATATTAGATGTAGATCCTTGAGATATCCAACTTTATATACAAGTGCTAAAATAGAGGAATATAAATTGCTTCCTGCAAGATAAATTCTTCAGTTACTTATATTTATTCATAGTTGTTCACATATTCAGGATTGAATAGAATTTATATTTATATAAATGATCTATATTTATGATTTTTTGACTCTGGTTACTGAAAGCATTTATCTTGGTATATTCTGTGTTATTATTAACTTTGCCCATTGGAAATGAAGGATAGTAATTTTTAAACTGCTGAGCTCAGGAGTCACTAATGTATGTAATATAGAGAAACCAAGTAAGAGTCAGATAAAGAAAAGCTTTAAAATACCACAGACCTGTGTTTCTTTGAAAAAGTAAAAATTGTGTATAAATACTTTAATCATAAGTGTTAATGTTAATAATTCAAGTAAGAAAGTATTTAATAGTGAAAAGATTCTCTGTCAGTTACTTATCACTGTCTAACAAACTGTCCTAAAACATGGCGACATAAAAACAGCAGTTTGTCTTTTAAGAAACCTCCAAACAGCTTTCCATAGTGGTTGTACCAGTTTGCATTCCCACCAATAGTGTAGGAGAGTTCCTTTTTCTCCACATCCTCACCAACATTTGTTGTTGCTAGTTGTTTTAATATGTGCTATTCTCACTGGTGTGAGATGGTATCTCATTGATTTTAATTTGCATTTTCCTTATTACAAGTGATGTTGAACATTTTTTTCATATGACTGCTGGCCATCTGCATTTCTTCTCTGGAGAAGTGTCTTTGTAGCTCTTCTGACCAATTTTTGATGGGGGTTGTTCACTTTATTTTTGTTGAGTTTAATCAGCTCTTTGTATACCTTTGTGACCAGTCCTTTGTCATTAGTATTGTGTGCAAATATTTTCTCCCTATCAGTGGGACATCTCTTTGTGTAGTGTCTCTCTTGTTGTTCAGAAGCTCTTTAACTTGATGTAGTCCCAGCTGTTTATCCTTTCCTTCACTAGAGCTTCCATATGACCCAGCAATCCCACTCCTAGATATATACCAAAGGATACAAAAACATCAATTCAAAGGATACCTGCACCCCTGTGTTTATTGCTGCTCTATTTACAATAGGGAAGATGTGGAATCAATCCAAATGCCCAAAAGTAGATGACTGGATTAAAAAGATGTGGTACATACACATTATGGAATATTACTTGGCAATCAAAAAGATAAACTCATACCTTTTGCAACATGAACGGAGCTGGAAGGGATCATGCTTAGTGAAATAAGCCAGAAAGAAAAAGAAAAATGCTGGATGGTTTCACTCATAGCAGGAGCATAATGGATGGAGCTGGAAGGGATCATGCTTAGTGAAATAAGCCAGAAAGAAAAAGAAAAATGCTGGATGGTTTCACTCATAGCAGGAGCATAAGGGATTGGGGGGAGGGGGGGGGACAAATGTAATAGAGTAAAAATGAAAACATTGAACAACTATAAGCCAGAGACATTTTCTGGGGGTGGAAAGGGGAATAGGATCAGAACTGGAATGTAAAGAGTGCACTGGACTATGATGTGATGGCACACGGGTGAATTGGTGGTGGGAAGCCCATGGGGATTATAACTGAGATGAAAAAATGCACAAAATGATCATTAATATCTTTAAAAAAAAAACAAACCTGCATTTTATCATTTCTTATGAGTCTGTAGGCCCTGTATGGTATTTCCTCTATAGTCTTTGCAAGGAATCCCTTGCAATTCAATGGGGTAAAATATTTAGGCCCAGGATCTAGAACTTTCCCATTGTCATTTCTGCCACATTGTTTTGTTCAAAGCAAATCACAGGCCTTCACAGACTCAAAGGGCTGGGAAATGGATTCCTACTCTTCATGAAGAGAAGCAGCAAATATCTGAACATATTTAGTCTTTTATAAGTTATTTAGTAAATCCAGAATTACTTTAAGTTATCTTATTAAAAACCACTGAAATATGATTTTGGTCTTCTGTCTAGTTCTTTAACCCATTTTGATTGGTTTTTGTGCATGGTGTAAGATAGTAATCTAACTTCAAAATAATTTGTATGTATACTCTTTTCAGTTGTTAAGTGATTGTGTTCCTCTATGGTTTTGGTATGTTTCATAGGAACATACCATAGAATTTCTATTAGAATATATGAAATAAAATATTAAAATTCATTTTTATAATCTTAAATATTGCAAATTTATTATTCTGTATGATAATGGCATTTATTTTCATGCTGTTTAAATCAGGATTGATCGATGTATTGAACTTTACGTGTATTTCTCCTCTAGAATGCAACTAATGAACTCACTAAACAGTCATCTAATGTGAAGTCTCTGAAATTTGAACTCCTAACAAAAGAAGAGCACATAAAGGAAATGCATGAAAAGTATGGTCTTATTTTTATCCATTGGATTTGGTGCCACCTAGTGGCAGTTAATTCTATTTAACATAACACTCCAAAAAACAATGCCAACATGTTACAAATTATGTTTTCCTTCTTTAGCGCATATCTTGATAAAAGTTTAAGGAACATTTCATATATAGCATGGCTGATAGGTATCTAATTAAAAGTTTTTAATTAGTAGAAGCACAGCACACTTAAAATTAGATTTTCCATCTTAAATATTTAATTTTGAATAAATACAATTAATGGTAATAAACAATACAATTAAGAATGTGGTAGTTATTTGACCAAAGACATATGTAAGCTGATTCTTATATCTGACTTACAGTGAAATTATTTCTGTATGCATTTAAAATAACAGAGTGGTTATGAAAACTTCTAAATTGTATGTATAACTATGAAAAGGGGCTTAAATATTCTCTCACTGAATCCAAATTATTTTTTCTACATTTTTTATAGCTATCCTAGAGTTTACAAGTTATAAAATGTTTAGATATAATTCCATTATGTCATTTAAGATCGATATATATTTAAATAATTCAATTTATATTATCATTTATATTATGATTTACATATCATGTATATATGTATGTGTTTAGCAATATGCATGTTATATGCATACATGTATGTCACAACATAAGTGAAGAGAACATAAAAGAGACATTTTGACAAAAAGATTAATTTTTTAAACACAGTATCTTGAAATTTATTTCCAGATTGAAAGGCAGTCTTACTTATTGCTTACCAGTGAGAATTCCAAAAAGAACATTCTTTGAATTCTTGCTTTTCTACCTTCTATTAAACATCTCAGTTTAATAGTGTTCATTCAGAAAATTTTTACAATAATCAAATGAGTTAGTACATATAGCAATATGGTAAGTGTTCAAATGTTAGCTATTGTTCTGATTACAATAATAGTAGTTACATTTACTATTTTATGCTTAGTATGTTATCAACTTGTGCTAAACTGATATATTTAGTCAGTCTCAAATGTTACTCATTGAGAAAATACTGTGCCTAATTTTAGTCTCTTTATATACAACTTTACATTTGTATAGAATTGTTTCTTAAGAAATCACTTTGATTCTCCCTAACAATTCAAGAATGTAATTTTTATTATTATTAAAATAGCATTGTGTTATGCATTATTTAAGTTTTAGGTGTGCATCATTGAGAATCAACATGTGTATATACTACAGTAAGTCTTCTGCTAAAAGTTCAATTTTATCTTTCACCATACCATTGACTTCTTTTTCCCAATTTACCTTCTCCTCCCTTCTGATAATTTAAATATAATGGAGCAATATTATATTTGATACAATGATGTTATTAATTTGCAGTTTCATTAATATTTCACTTAAAAATTAAAAGTAGGCATAACATTGGATAATAACATAAAATACTTTGATTGTTAGTGTTTTTATCACTTGATAAAAAATATCTTTTTTGCCTTTCAAGAATGTCTCGAATGGAGAGAGATATAACCATGAAAAGACATTTGATAGAAGACTTGAAATTTCGACAAAAAGTAAATTTGGAAAGTAATGAGAGTATTAATGAAATGTTAGAAAGTCTTGAAAAAAAGGTATCAACTTTTATATGTTCACTAACTACAAAAAAGTTCCTCTTGTTTTTTCCTTCTTCACTTGACATTAATAGATGTGTAGAAAATAGTCTATGGACATGTGTGCATCATGTATTACATAGGTACATTATGGACTTTGAAATTGCATTATTTTCTTTAAAATTCAAGATTCTAAATATCTTATATATGACATAGCTATATTTTTTCTTTATAAACATATCATAGGAAGGTAATGAAGTTGAATTTTTTAAATCTTTAATATTCCTGTGATAAATTTTATTTTATTTAGCATTTGGTTTTATTGTAAATTATAATTTATAATGATAGAAACAATTTTTTATTAAAATGATAACCAGCGACTATCAAAGTTTTTTTAAAAAGCGTTCTTACCACAATTTCTTAAAAGTATTCTCTTTCCTTGTAAACACCTAATTCAGTATACTTAGAAAGAAAATTTCATTTTAAATAGCTATATAAAATCTGATCCCCAAATAGAAATCAATAATTTGCTGACTAAGAGACTTTTTTGTATGTGCTATTTGCACAACTCATAAAGCAGCTTGTGCTTTGGCATTCACTAAATGTTACCCACTCCAGAGAGAGCATTTCCTGACTTTCCTTGTTGGAGATAAAAAAAAAAAAGTATCTATTAGCTCAGATGGATTTAAAAGAAGAATTTACAGGAGCAAGACAAATGCACATGATTTTCTTTCTCTTACACATATTTGCCTAAATTTTAATTCCACAGGTTTTTGCAGTGTTATCATTAAAGTTATGCTCATTTTATAACCTCAGTTCACTTCAGATGTAGCATTGAAATCCCTGTATAAGTAATTATATATCTTTACTGCATTAACTGAAAAAGAAAATTTATTTCTTCTGTTATTCTTGCAAATGCATATTAAATGTTATATTTTTACATTTTTTTTCCTAAAATGTACATGTTATATTAGAGAATACAACAGAAAGTTTTCCAGTTATCCATAATTTGGCTTGTTTCAGAATAAAGAACTTGCTTGCATAAGTAGCAATTTTTATAATTGCTATCATGAAATGAATTTTACAAACAACATACTTATATTTGGTATCATTTATGAGGAAATAAATGAAATTTAACTTATTAATGTCTTACTTAGTTTCTGTTGAAACTATTGTAGTATATTACCTAAATGCCTTTACCAATAATAATTACCATTGTGCTTCTATTGTAGGTGAAGACATTAACTGAAGAATGTTCTAACAAGAAGGTCTCAGTTGATTCATTAAAGCAAAGACTTGGTGTTGCTATAAAAGAAAAGTCACAGTATGAACAGATGTATCAGAAAACTAAAGAGGAGTTAGAAAAAAAGGTAAATTTCTAGGACATTTTAGCAGAAAATTAGAATATAATATTACTTACATTTCTAAAGTTTTCATTTTTTCCCCTCCCTAAAACCAGTCTAAGCTATTGAAGTATTTCAGGTAACTCCAAAACACATTTACCTTTATACATGTAACACTAGGAATTTGTTTAGTAAAAAGTGTTGTGTTTGAGAAATAGATTTTGTTTGCCTTGATAACATCTAATAAATAAGCCTTGCTAACAACTGACACACAGATTAAATTTTTTAGGTTTACCCAAACTTATAAACTAATTAAATATTTCTCTTTGATATATAGGAACTTTTGATCTAAAATAACTTCCATGTCTTTAATGAATTAGTTTTCTAAGCTAATAAATACATAAAATTAGATCATTTTTGAAGTAAGTGAAAACAGCTTTCATTTTACTCAAATATACATATATGCATGTATTGCTTATTTCACATATATAACTCTTCTAAACCTGTTTATGATTTTTTTTTAATTCTATGATTACTGGTCTTTTGTAGGATCTCAAGCTTAACCTCTTAGTATCAAAAGTAAATGAGACTGAATCAGCACTGGCAGAAATTGAAACAGCAGCATCTAAGCATCTTCAAGGATTAGCATTGCAAAGTGAGCAGGCCCTAGAAGGAGCACAGAAGAAACTACTGTTAGCCAATGAGAAAGTGGAAGAGTTCACCATGTTTGTGAAGGTTTGAATTATTTGTGGCTTATTAATGCTAGCACTTTATTTCAGGCAATAAATGACCTACTTCAGGTAATTGGGGGAATACTGTCTCTGTTTTTCTGCCCACTTGTCACATTTTTTCAAAATCTCTATCTAAAAGATTTATTTTTATAGTTAAGTTAAAATTGTTCGTATTAATATTATGGGCTTAATGTCAATCTAGTTATAAAATGTTACTAATCACTGAATCAATACAGAATTTAAGATGAAAGCATTAAGTCATTTCTACTTGGTTCCCCTTTTAAAAACCACCTAAGCAAGAACAACCAGAAACTATCTCCATGTTCACTGAAGTTAAGGGTCATGTGAGCCCCAGTCTAGAGTCTGTCTAGCGTAGAGGGATGATTAAATGGTTTAGCAGAGCAGAAGGAAAACAAACTGATGGGCCTGCAAAGGGCATCCCATCTTGAAGTGGTCTGAAGACTAAAGAGCCCCAGAGAAGCCCAGCAAGCACCAAAGCTGGTGGTGTTGGTAAAGGGATACAGAGCTAAAAACAGGTGGTTTTTGGAAACTCTTTATAATTTTTTATTTCCTGTTCATTTCTTTATTGGCGTAATAGTTATTCAAAAGCATTTTGTTTCATTTCAGCATGTTTGTATTTTACCTAGTTTACATCTTTTGGTTGATTCATTGTGCTCAGAAAAAATACTTGATATAATTTCAATTTTGGTATATTTTTGAGACATAAATTGAGATGTATTTTGATTCAGCGTAAGTATAAATCCTTGAGAAGTTTCAACTGTACATGAGAAGAATGTGTCTTCATTTCTTTTGTGATGGAAGGCTATGTAATATCTATAAAGCCCATGTGATACATTATTTTATTTGAAGTCATTATCTTCATATTTCTTTTCTGTCTGATGATCTATCAATTGATAAAAATGGTGTTTGAAATCCTTTTTATTATTGTGCTTTTGTCAATGAGTTTTAGTTTTCTTTAAATGTTGTTTTTTACATTTGGGTGCACCTGTGTTGTGTGTATAAATATTGATGACAGTTACAACTTGATGTATCAGATGATACCTGTCTTTGTTACTAATTATTTTTATGACTGAAAGTAATTTATCAAATGTGAGGATAGCTGTTAATACTTTTTTTTATGTGTCACTGGCTTGAAATACTTTACTCCAGTCTTTCACTTCAAGTGTATTTGTGTTTAGATCTGAGGTAAAAGTCTTGACTGTATCTATCAATGGATTATGATTTTATTTTTAAAATCAATCCTGCATTTTTATTTGGTAAGTTTACACCATTCGTTTGTAAGGCAATTACTAACATGAGGCATATTTACTGCTAGTCTTTCTTTTGTTTTTATCATTCTGTTGTTTCTTTTCCATTTGTCTGCTTTTTCATTTGGATGGTTTTCCACAGTGGTTCTCTCAGTTTCATTAATTCTTATTTTAAGTATCTCTATTCTAGACTTTTGTTTTGTGCTCACCATGAGCTTTGTAGCAAACTGGATACCTGAAATAGTCTTTTTTGTGCTGGTATCACCTCATCATCATTTGGCTATACAGATTCTGTTCTTTTCTTCATTCCCTCCAATGTTCTGTTGTCATATTATTTTTATTTATGTTTTTTATTCCATATTACTATTTATCACCTTGCAAAGGGTTTTGTGTTCTTTTGTTTTGTTTCACATAGAAAATGTGCTTTTAACACTTCTGTGAAGAGCAGCTCTTTGTGGTAAACTCCGTTAGCTTTTCTTTGGCAAGGTCTTTATTTTTTCATCATATTTGAATGAAAATTTTACAGGATAAAGTATTTTTGATTGGCATTTTTTTTCTTTTAGAATGACATAGAAATTATCATTCCATTGTCTTCTAATCTGGAGAAACCTAGTAAGTTTGGTTGAGATGCCCTTGAATGTTACATTCTTTTTTTGTTTCCCTCCGTAGCAGCCTTTTATATTTTTTTGATAGCTTAACAATTAAGTGTTTTGGTGGAGGTTGTTTTGTATTTAGGAAATTTGGGTATTCTCTCAGCTTCCTGGACATCCATGTTTTTTTCTTACCTTAGATTTGAGAAATAGTCTATTATTATTGTTTTAAGTAGCATCTCGGCTTTATTCTCTCTTCACTTTCTGGAGTACCAATTATCCGTACATTTCCTCTTCTAAATCTTACCTCTCTCTCTTTGTCTATTTGAGTGATTTAAAAATTTGCATCTTTGATTTCTGAAATTTTATCTCTATCAGTTTAAGTCTGTTTAATACATTTCCATGCTCTCATTTCATTCAGTATCTTTTGTGTATTTTTTTTAATATTAGTATCTTTTGTGAAGAACTCTCTGTTCCTTGTTCTCTTTTGTAAGGTACTGAAGGCACTTTTCTGTATTTGGTTGTACTTTCAGGTATTCATTAAGCTCCTTAATGATTGTTATTCTAAAATACTTTCCTGTGAGATACTCAAATTCTGTGCCTTTATGTGGGTTTCTGGACTTCCCTTATCTTTCAGCTTCTATCTTTTATTCAGATGTTCATTGTTTCCTAGGCATGTATGTCATCTTACTTATTTCTTACCAGTTGAGGCACTGTGTCTCAACTTTTATATCTTCTTTGCTTTACTTTATGACAGATGATAGAGAGGTGGTGTTACCGGGCAGAGTTAAGGGCACCCTGGAACCCCCAAATCTACCAGCCCTAGTACGTTCTGCCAGCCACTGCATCAAAACAAAACATATTCTGGTGTGGAAAGGAACTTTAATACAATTAATGTGCAATAAAGTGAAGAAATAAAATATTTTTCACACGAAACACCCACAGTTAGCCATCATCCCCTCATGGGTAAATGTCCAGCCAAACAGGGTTGACTCAGAGCAGGATGACTAAGGCCACAAATCTAAGGCACCTTCTGGTGGGACCATTGGAAAGGGTCAGAAGAGGGCCAGACAAGTATGGAGAGAAAAGGGCAAAATCAAAAACAAGATAAATGCTGCCATTGTTAACCTCCCCACAGTCTCTCACCCACATCTGTTTCAAGTGTCTTCTTTCCTGTCCCTCAAGTCCCTGATATAAGCCCAAGGCTGAGAAGCAAGTACAGCTTTTTCACATGGGAATCTGCTCCATGTCCTCCTCCAGGTCTCTTCCTTGTTCTCTTCTATCTTCCTTTCTTCCTCCATTCTCCACTCCAGCTTCTTCTTCCCCTGCTCAGCTCTATCAGCCCTTGGATGGGGCAGGAAGCTTGGAACGTCCACTTTTCCTGGGAGCACCCTGGTACAGTGGAAGGTTGAAGTGGAGTGTGTTACATGTCTTTTCCTCCTTTTCTCTAAAGCAAGTACTTTTGACTGCTTCATAGAGCCCAAAGTTTTGGGCCCTTGTTCCTTACCACAGCCCCAGTGTGGTGATCATCAGGTGTCTCTTCCTGATTTCCTAACAGGAAAGAAGAGAGGAGTTCTGCCACCCACATTACCAGAAGCCTGATTCTCTCCTGCTTAACCATCAATCCCAGCCCCTGTGTATGTATATATATCTGCTCTTCCCCAATGAAAAGAATTACCAAAAATATTCACCACATTCTGTGGTTCATTCCCTAGCTTGTTTGTCTTACTAAATGGCTATTGCCTTAGCCACAACTCCCTTTGCCTCTCCCCTTTCCACTCCCACAGCAAATGAACTAGCAGCCTCAGAGCAAAATATCTGTGGGTCAGTCCCCTACTGCCAGCGATGAGCTGGTGAAATTTCCTGTGAGTAAAATTTATTCCTTCCTAGTTGTACTTAGGAGAGAGATTTATCAAAACCTTCCTACTCTACCATGTTGTGGGAGGAGACCCTCAAATCAGTACTTTTTGTTTGCTTGCTTCTCTCTGTAGATTTATTGGGTAGTTTGGCATTTCTAAAGCTCCCGTAAAGAAGGTACTCAACATATAGAATATTTTTTGATTACTTAATTCCCTTAGGTTTTTTTCCCTAATACTTTAGATTATATGTATAAGTAATATTTATCTATGCTTATAAACTAAATATAAGATGAAAACCAATTGAATTATATACATAATGGAAATGAATATATATATATATATATATATATATATATATATATATATATTATATATGTGTGTGTGTGCCATATTCTTCATTCCTCTAATATCAGGAGCTTATAGCATTTTAAAAAATTTTATTTCTTTTTGCATAGAAGAACTGGGGTAGAGGCCAGAGGTCAGGGTTTGCCAGAGCCAGAATGCAGAGCAAAACAGGCTACTGAGGGGAGCAGCACTTGAGACAGGAGAGGTCTGCTATACCATGTGGATTAGTTCCCTGGCCAGGGATTGAACTGGCTATAGAGGTGATAGTGCTGAGACAACTCCTAAGCCACCAGGGAGGCCCTAAACTAGGAGCTTACAGCATTTTGTTCCAGTGTTAATAATACCCCATTTGGAACAAATCTTTTGCTTTGTTTCTTTGCAAATCATAGATACCTTGGGAATTTTCTTCCTCTGAAAGTATCTACAAAATGAATGGAATGAAACATTTTATCTCTTTTTACAAAGATTTCAACTGGTATAAAGTCAAACCAATATTGTTTGTCTCAGAGGACCCTAAATGATTGCAGAGTATTAATTTTAGTAAATGTAATTTACCTTTTACATATTTAAAATGTCATTTTCTTCCTGACGCTTGTTGAATAGTTTCATTGTTTAACTTGTGATAAAGTATTTTCATTGAACATTGTCAATATTTTACTTATAATGTAAAATATTGTAAAATTTTCATTGAACATTGTCAATATTTTACTTATAATATTGTCAATATTTTACTTATAATGGCACTATTTTACTTACAATATAGAGTCATTTTTATTAAGAATTTTAGTTTTGTAAACCTTTGTTTCTTGTGTTATATTATACTTAGCATATAGGTGCATGCTTAACCAAGTTTGGATATGAAATACATAATTATAAGATTTATTTAGAATTTAATTATTATCTTTCCTGAAATGTTCTTTGAGTATGTTCTTTTTAAAAAGA